ATATATATATATACACACATGAATCTGTATATATGTATACATAGCATACGAATCACATAGGGATGATATGGGTAGCAGCCGGCTTCTGAGCTCTGACTCTTCTCCCGACTTCGTCGAGGCACAACGCCGCTGATGTCTGCCGCTTGCAGCAACTTTACCGCTCTTATCAAGTATGTTTTACTTTTCTTTGAATATATCTCCAGGGGAGCCTAAACCCTAAGCCCAAAACCCCTAAAACCCCTAAAACCCCTAAACACTAAACCCCAAAACCCTACAGCCCTGGACCCTAAACCCGAAACCCCAAACACCCAAAAAACCCTGAACCCCAAACCCCAAATAAGGGCGGCTAAGGCAACGCCTTGCAATGCCTCAGGGAGCTCCTGAGGATGGGCTCGAAGAAGGCGCGAGCCCAACCGGAGAGCGCTTCGGGAACCCAATGTAGAGGCCTTCATAGTTCGAATAGGATTTGGGGTATATTATACTATATATAGATATATATAGACAAATATAAATATAAATAAATAAATAAATAACAACAAACAAATATAAATATACATATAAATAAATAAATATAAATAATAAATAAATAAATAAATAAATAAATATATATATATATATATATATTCTCATAATGAGGAACCCCCAAAACCCCATTCTAATTATTAAGGCCCCTACATTAGGGTTTAGGGTTTGGGGCTTAGGGTTCACAGGGGCAAGATGGAGGGCACCCTGCCAGCGAAGAGCGCATGACTACGTTGACAAGCAGCATGTCCAGACGACTCTAGCCGCTAGCCACGCTGTGCCGACACAGGCTCATGATGCCAAACTGCGACAATCTGTGTTGTCACTACGGGTTCAACTTTAGACTCTGCAAACCATCCGCGGAGACGCAACCGAAGCAGGGCTGGATCGTCATGTAAGAAAGCGATTGCTTCTGCCACGGGAAAACATGCCGGGCTAGTTGGGGATTTTCACGCTGGGCTTAAAAGCTTGCAGGTTCAACGCGCAACGTTGTGCTGAGGTGAGGGTAAGGTGTTTTCATCGGGATGACTCTGGCCATCTTCCCCTCCTTTCAACCTCCAAGAGACCAGCTCCGACCGCTTGGCTTCTCCCTGAGCTGTATGCAAATCAAAGATGCCAGGAAGCGAGAGACGAACTTGGCCAGCTGCTCAACATGCGCAAACTTGTCGAGCTGTTTTGGCAGAGGAGCTGCTGTGCTGCTAGAATCAGTCTCGTCGAGGCCGGACGGCTTTGATGCACGCGGCCGACAGAGGCCATGCTGCCTGCCTTACGGCGCTGCTAGGCGCAGGCTGCCACAAGGCAGGCTGCCCCTGGCTTTATGTGTGCTAATGGCAACATGTGACACGTGCGGGCAGATGTGAGTCCAACTTGGTTTCCCTCGCGCCCCTCGCCAGGAAGCAGAATCCGGTCGAGGCTAGCGGCCCAGGCATGTGTCTGCTATGCTATACTGTGTAAGGACGGCAACTTTGCAGGGGTAGCTTGGCGACGACTTATGACATTGGATGTTTTCTTGCTCAGAAGCGGTCAAGGAACTGCCGCTTGAAACCACAAGGTTTGGCAATGTAACGAGTCATGGTTTGGAACAGCAGGCGTGACTGGATGTGGGGCTTGCAAAGCTTCAATGCTGTGCAGCAGTTGGGAGGAATAGTGCACGAAGCCAGCTGGTGCCTTGTTCTTGGTGCGAAGGTCCGCCATGGTGCTTCCTGAAGCAGACATGTAGAACAAGGAAGCTGTCCGAAAAAAACGTCTCCTTCTGTGTCTACTTCGCTGAGGCCGCACGCCCCTCAGCTATGCAGCCGGCAAGTGCGACCCGGACTGCCTCCGACAGTTGCTGGCGGCCCACTGCAACAAGGCTCCTCAAGGGGTTCCCTCTGCGTCAAGTTTTTGATGCTGCGTGTGCAGGCGGAAGCTGTGAAATGTAGACAAAGGCCGCTTTGGATTTGCTGTTGAAGCCATCAGGATGCACCAGACCGGAAAGGACCGGGCCTGAGAGAACCTGCACGGAGGAGCTACACGTTTTGGGGATATTTGCAATCTGTCCGTTCGAGTGGCCTCTTCGGTCTGGGATGTCTGGGTGGCTGCAAGTCACGGTAGCAGTTGCAGGTAGGCCATCGCCAGAACACGATTGGCGAGTCTGTCGCAGCTCCGGACAAGACAACCCTCAACCGAAGAACTCCAAACTCCAGACGCTACAGCCCTGCAGAGCTCTGCGGAAAGGAAAGAGGCCACATATATAAAAACCTGAGAACCCACCCTAATCCCGAAAAATCCCCAAACCCTAAGATATATAACCTATAATGAACCCTATAACCCAAAACCTTTCGCCCCCAAATCCCTACGAGACACGAGGCCGCAGACCCCTGCACTACGTGGCGGAGGGCGGCAACGTCGACTGCCTCAGGCAGCTGCTGGCGGCTGGCTGCAAGGCGGGGCCAAAACGTCTGAGGGCCTAAACCCTAAACCCCTAAACCTGAAACCCTCATTAAACCCTAAACCCCTAAACCCCTAACCCCTAAACCGCTAAACGCTAAACTCTAAACCCTAAACCCCTATAGACCCTAAACCCCTAAACCCTAAAGCCCTAAACCCTAAGCCCAGGGCAGGTTTAGGTTCTAAGGCTTCGGATTTACAATCTCATTACAGTAGGGGATCTAGGGTTATGGGGAGCGAGAGATTTTTGTCCGTGAGCAGAAGACGTAAGTCCTTGCAGGTCATGCTATGCTCCATGGTCTGTGCTGTAGAAACGAAAACTCATGTCGGACGCCAGGATGTGAAGGACCAGCACGGACCGGGCCTTGGCGACTAAGCATCTTCGGACATCTCTGGACGGTGCTTGACTCGTCACTTGGTTTTTTCCAACTTTACTTTCCCGCGAAGCAAGCAATCCAGGGACGTTCAGGGGGCTGATTCGGGGACTGTCTGCGGTACCGGAGGAGTATGTTGTCACACTCAACCAACTTTCAACTGCGATGTTTACGGACTTGATAGCTTCGCAGCGTTTGTGGCACTTCGCATGTTCTTGCATCTCCGGCAGCCAGCTGCTATAGCGAGCATGAGCCAGCACGGGGGTGTTCTGCAGTTAAGGTGTAACAGCGCTGGCCTCCGCAGCCAGCTATGGCAAAAGAGAATGCCTCAACGAACTCTTGGCAGCTGGAAGTTTCCAGGCAGAGCTGATCCTTGTAGAACTTTTACGGTGCTTGGTAGATGTGATGATCTCCTACTTCATGGAACAGCAAGCGATGCGAGTTCTCGTTTGTCGCTGCGAAGGATGAACGAGACAACCTCGGCCGCGGCCTTGGAATTTCGGGCAAAAGGCCTTCGGATGCGTCGAATGCGCCCAGCTTGTGCTCCAAGCGTCCATGGGAGTGGAGTGTTGCTTTGTCGAACCCGTGAAGGCCGGACGCCCCTGCATCGGGCAGCCATGCAGGGCGACCCTCGATGCCTCCTGGATCTGCTAGCAGCCGGGTGCGACCAGGCAGCTGCACACCATAGAAGCACTCTGGGGGGGGGTATCCTTTGCGATGTGGGCTGCTCAGGGTTAGGCAGAACGCTGCGCCGTGAGCCCTCTTTTGTGTGGGGGGCGCGCAGTAGCAGGATGCCAGGGACTTCGATGGTCAGGACCTGAGGCGACGGGATTCCTGGAACACTTCTCCGCGATTGCTCGGGGCGGTTGTTATGTTTAGATGGAGTCTGCTTCTGGGAAAGGCGCTGGCTGTCGTTGCTGCGTCGCAGCTCGTCCGAGGCGAGACACCGCTGATGTTGGCTGCCAAGCAAGGATGCACCGCCTGCATCAGGGAGTTGCTGGCGGCTGGCTGCAGCAAGGCCCCATACCGCAATGTTCATCGGGTCCGAGTGGTCTGTTGACGCACAGTGCTGCACTGGAGAAAGATGCCAACCTCGGCACCGCACCAGGATGTGGAGAACAAGCGTGGTCCGGATCCAAGGGCGGCCGGTGTGCTGTCTACTAAGCGAGGCTTCTTTTGTTTCAACAGTGAGTAATCCTCCAACATGCCTTGTTGCATACGCCCATGTGTTCGCTGTTGGTCGGCAATGGTTCACGGCTGGCGGAAAACAACATAGAAACAAGACCGACATGTTCTGCTGATGTGATGGGTCCACAACCTAGAAGTAGAGTGTCATAGGCATGGCGCCGGGTGGTCGAAGGTATGGCGGTCTGGAGTCTGGAGCAACGACTTGGCCTGGTGTCGATTGCGGGACGGTGCCACTGGTGGGTCCGAAGTTTCTCTCGCTGTAGTCTCTTCGGAAGCGGCAGTCGCAACGGAAATCTTCGAGGAACTGTTCTTACACGGAAGCTTGCAGCTGCGACACAACATCTTAGCATGTCCATTCGTCCAATTGCCAAAAACTGCAAGTGTTGTTGATCAAGATTTGGAACTCGTGGCCTGTGACTGCATTGTGAGCCGTCGTACTGAGGTCACAAAGCCTTAGACATTGCGAAGCAGGAATGCAAACCATTGCTCTATGAGAAGGCCTGGGGCAGTCCTTTAAGCTTGCTTGTGTCGCACATTCCTTTTGTCTGGCTTGGGCTCACATTCGCACGTGTCCAACTTTGAATTTACTTGCTTCGGACTTGGGACTTGGGCATTCTGGAATCACATGCAGGTGCACCTCACTCTGCTGCTGGACTGCTCGCTATCCATGGCGGGTGAGCGATGGCAAAACCTCCTTGTGGCCTACGATACCTTGAGAACAGCATTGGCAGAGAGTCCAAGAGCCTCTCTTACCACGGCCTCTGTGGTCCTTGTCAACGAGCTTAGTGAAGTTCAGGCCTCAGCCATCAGTCTGTTCAAGCAACTGGGTCTCGCACTCTTTGCACGAGAGCCGAGGTGATTCAGCATCGCGCGAACGCCGGACAACTGCCGGACTTGCCTGCTACGTGCCCCGACAGTAAGCGCCATGAAGCAGCCCTCGACAAAGCCTTCCAGCTGTGCCTTGAAGATCTGCACAATTCTCCACGAGACGAGCACAGCTTCATTGTCCTTGTCCTGGGCAGCGCGCACTTGCAGCCAAATGCGGACATGGAGGAGCTGCTGGAAGCCAACATCAGCCAGGTACTGGTCATTAAAACCCTAAACCCTAAACCCTAAACCCTAAACCCTAAACCCTAAACCCTAAACCCTAAACCCTAAACCAACATCAGCCAGGTACTGGTCATTGCAGTGACGGGGTCAGAGGTGGAAGGCCAGTGCTTCTCAGATTGTCATGTTGTTCCTGTAATGTCGGAACCTTAAGAAACCCTGGCCCTATAACCCCCAAATATATTGGGGTTCCTATTGAGAGTCGTAATGACGGCCCAGGGTTTCTTCATCAAGTTCCTACGTTATGGTGCAAGAAGTTTTCTCTTGCCCATCGGTTTGGATCTGAAACCCCCCAGGCATTTTGTCTGACTTCCAGCAGCAGTTCTTGGAGTCGATGACTCCTTGCAGCATCGTGTCTGTCGAGGAGCAAGACCTCGAACAGGCAGTGACTGAAGCCAGCACTCGGGTGAAGACATTCGTGAGGATATCTGTTTCGCAAGCACTGATTAAAGGGTCAGCGGCCAGGCTTTCACGACGGCCGTCGCGGATGTGGATATTCTGCGGCAGATCGGCGGAAGAGGCTTGCCGTTCATCAGACAAGTAGAGCCAGACTGACAGGGTCAGGTCTGCGCCCATGGGAGCAAGTTTAGCACCATGATGCTGAAGTCTCTAGTCATAGTCCCAGCTGGGCATGCGTTCTTCCCAAGCATTCTCGCAGGCGGCAGGCGAAAGATCCAGGTTTGCCGCATGAACGGTGACATCACAGAGATTGATCCGCGAGATGACTCGGTCGGGGATCTCGTGAAGCGTCTGAAGATGGAAGACCCATCGCTCGAGAACCAAGATTTGAAGCTACTACTTTCCCGCCGAGCATTGCCCGAGAACTACAAGCTCCAGAACGTTCCGCTGTCAGAAGGGCTCACCATGGTGATAAATGCACCGTTGAGACCAGCCGCTTTGGATGCACTGAGAGGTGAGGTTTCGGTCCCACAGCGCAGGGAGGGTGTGCTGTGATAGCCAGGGGTTGTTAGCGTAGAAGGAATCCATCAGCCGAATTCCCGGCCCGCAAGCCCCCAGGCCGACGAGGAAGAAGTTGACCTGAGTAGTCTGAAGCTGGCTCCAGATCAGCGGGATGCCGTGATGGAGCACCTGCCGAAGTTGCGTGAGCTCTACAGGGCCTTGCCAGCTCGTTTGAGAGAGCCCGAGGATGAAACTGAGGCGCCCATGACACTGACGAATTTCCTCAGCATCGTCCAGCCGAGCCACTTCCAAAGCTTCCTCAGAGAACTGGATACACTGAAGATCGAAGCTTCGGTTCTCGGAGACCTCGACAGCGCGATGCTCGGCGACCTCATCCAAAGCCCTGCCCAGTTCCTGCAGAATCGCGAGGAGGTCGCGCGGAGTGTGCTTTAACAACTTGGCTCTGTGTTTAGAGGTGCAGCAGGCACCATCACCAAGCAGGCATGCGTTGAGGATTAGGAATCGGCATCGCCATCTTCATCAGTCGGGTTGGAGAAAGACTTTCTTGCGCATGTTTGCCTAAATGGTCCCCGCAGCCTATCTACTTACGCATCATGCGGGTCCTTCTGCAGGTGCGCATGAACCGCATGAGCTGCCCTAAACCCTAAAAAACCCTAAACGCCTTTGGCCTTTCCTCTCGAGGAGCGCGCGAGGCGGGAGCTTGGTACCTGGCAGCAATCGGGGCATGCGCCGATGCCCGTCGTTCGCCTCTACTTCGTGGGCCAGGGCCGCGCCGGGAAGACTACCACGCTCAGGCCGGAGACGTACGGACCTCACCACATCGGGTGCATGCTTCTGGCATGTACATTCAGAGTCATGATCTCTTGTTTTGGGTTGTCTTGGCAATGACCGCATGATACCTTGAAAGGCGGCTGAAGGGTGAGCAGCCACGTGCTGACGAGATTTCGACGTTCGGTGTCGACATCTGGGCTGGAGAAGCTGGCAAGGATCTGAATTCCACGTGGAAGGAAAGCAAGACATTACTCTATGACCACACGGCTGTCCTGTGTCTCCGCAAGGATAGGAAACGCAAGACAGAGCCGGTGACGAGGAAGAAAAGCCTTTGGCAAGGTTCTCCAATCAAAAGGGCCAGTTCCATGAAAACTCCCAGAAATCGGTCGATCTCAGAATACTCTGAGAAGCACCGCGAGATGTCGCCGGCATCAGCCAAGCCTAGCATTCCAGGTGCCTTGCCTGCTTGCGACGATGAGCCCGATCAGAAAGACTATGCTGTAAAGGGAGATGGTCAAAACATGACGGCAACGAAGAAGGGCGTCGGCTTCGAAGATATCAGTTCAGCCCAGGAGCAGACTCCGACGATTGACTTTCGTGACGAAGCACCTTCTTCATTCTGTGGCTCAATCTATGAAGAGGAGCCCGAGCCCGAACTGCCAAAGGACAAGGGCGAGCCCTTGGTAGCACGTCCCATCGATGACTGGCTCGTGAAGAAAGTTGCTGCCAAAAACTCTTCAGAAGAGGATCCTGCGCTCCAGCCGCGGCTGCAGTGTTGGGACTTGCCTGGCCAAGAGGAGTATGCTCTCTGCAATCTGCTCTACTTCCAGAAGCGTGGGATCTATGTCGTCTTCTGTGATACAAGCCTGGACATTGAGGCAGGTCGTTCCCCAAATTACTCTTGACATGCCAGAGGTTGATTCAACAGCTGTAGGTAGTGCTTTTAACCGGTGCTTCAATATCGCAATCTGACTATTGACAGCCATTTACAGCCCGGCGGACTCTAAACAACGTCCATCTTCGTCGTCGTAGATGTGATATGTGTCCATGTGGATCGCATGTAGGTCGCAGCAGGCCTGTCAGTCCGGAGTAGAAAGAAGCACAATGACATGCGAGAGCATTCGAAGATGTCTATACCTCACCCAGCCCTGCACACGGAGGAAGCCTGGCATCATCTGAAGTTTTGGTTATGGGCCGTGGCCCGCTATGCTGTTGACGCGAAGTTGGGGTCAGACGGGGCTCCTCCTGTCCTGGTTGTTGGGACGAAGTGGTCCCAGAGTCACGAGACCTTTAACGCAGAGGAGATCAATCGCCACATTGACAGCTTGCTGCTGCAGTTGCCTCGTTTGCGACAGCAGCTTCAACGGGTGAATACTCGGTCTGGATGGCTGCATCGAGTCGAAAACTTTGACAGCGATTCAGAAAAGTACATACAGCCTTTGCGAGACGGTTTGCAACAACTGGCCCGGGATACACTTACACCACGTCGGGAATGGCTGCAATCTCATCAACAAGAGGGCACTGATGCACCACAACATGTTGGAATGCAGGCGGAAACGTACCCAGTGTCTTGGCTGCGTGCGCACGAGTTGCTCACTGCACTTGCTGCTCCCTTCAAGCTCACCGTGAACAGAACGAGTCTTGAAGAAGTTCTTCCAATTCATGAATTGCCTGGGACGGCAGTGCTGACAAAGAATCTCATAGGCAAGCATGCAACCCTGCACCAAGACTTTGTAGTTCCTGCCTCTTCACATGTTTGTGTGAAGACTGCCGCCGGTCGTGATGATGATGTGACCGATAGCATTTCGATAGAAGTGCACTGCACGTCTCTGCGACTGGATCAGCTCGAAGCAACGCTTACGGGCATGCAGCCATCCGGTGTTGCAACAGAGGATGTCCCCCAGCTGCTGAATCTGTTGCATGCGCTTGGGGTTCTATTTTGGTACAACAAGCCAGGCCTTCGCGATCACGTGCTTCTGAATGTCCGAAAAGTGGCGCTCGCCCTGGCCTCCCTCATGAGTTTGCGGTACTGGGACGAAAGTGCTTTCGAGCACTCGGAGGAACACAAAGAGAGCATTGACTCTGTGAGCTGGCGCATGCCGAAAGATGTGTATCGCTTCAAAACAAGTGGAGTGGTAACCTGGAAGCTCCTTGAGTGCCTATGGGAGGAAAACAGTCCAGAAGAAAGGAGGATCATGGCAGAGGTTATGCTTTCGAAAGGCATAATCCAAAGGCGACGCATGCAGGATGAGTTCACCGTGCCATGTTGCTTACCCTTGGCCCACCTTCCGGATCCACATCCGGCTGAATGTACAGTTGGTTACATCGATGTGGATGGCTTCATCTCGCCAAACCTCTTCCCCGAAATCGCTCACCGCCTGTGCGAGCTAAAGCTCCAAGCTGGAGAAGGGGCAGACCACAGCAGGTTGAGGCCGGGGGCACCTCAGATCTTCCGAAACCGCTTGGAGTTCCGATCAGATGGCAGCACAATGGTCAGTGTGTCGCTCTTTCCGGCGAGTGGAAGCCAATTCCGGATGCTCCGCGTTGCTGTCACCGGGGCGACTGAGGACTTGGCGAAAGAAGAGCTCAACAAGACCGCGAGTGAGCTTTCTAGCATCATGGGCTTTGCCACGGAAGTGGCTCAACTGAAGCCGATGACAGCTGAGGAATTGAAAAAGCACAAGTGCCTCCGACATGTTGACTGGGCTGGCATCCAGGATGCAGAAAGCTTCATCCGATGCACGCCATGCCTCAAACAAGGCTGCAAGGAAAAGTGCAAGTTCTGCAGACTGTCTGCTTTGGTCGAGGAGCGCTTTATCGCTGATCTCAGCGATGACTTGAGACAAGTCGTCGACCAGTGTTCCCTGCAAAGCCTCTGCCGTCCAGACGGAAGTTTCCGGTTCAGTCAAATGAAATTCCCAGGCGATGTCGATCTGGAGGAGTACTTGATAGTGGACATCGGGCAGGGAGTCAAGGCAGTAGCAGCTCCAGAAGCAGAGGACAGACAGGAAGCGGCGCGCGAACTGCAACTCTTGCTGCAGAAGCTCTGCCAGAAGTTCGAGAAGGGCGGGAAGAGCCGAGGCTGGCCCCCTGTATACTGGGGCGGGCTAAAGGCAGGTGGCTTAGTTTGGTCGGTGCCAGATGTGCTCAAGGGGAGCAGGCAAGATGACAAGGGAGCGGTGGTGAGGCTGCAAGATGTATTGACAAATGGAAGCTCGCGCGCGGCCAAGTTGGATTTCTATGCCAGGACGGACCTTTTCAAGACAGAGAACACTTCGCCAGAGGCTCGTCGGTGCGTCGAGGTGACCAACGTTATTCGATTTGGTTACAGCTCCGGAAATGGCTTGATCCACCCGGTCACACCGGAGAAGGACTTCCTCGGAGCCGTGGAGATGTGCATGCACGAATACTCCGGTCCGCATCCTAAGGCCATGAAGCTGGCAACTCACATGCAACCGGACTACATGTCTGTTTCTAGGTTAGGCCCTTAGAGCCATGCTGATGTTCACCTGAGCCGCCGAGTTGCAGCACTCAGGCGAAGCGATTGTGGGAACGCAGTGCGTTTTTGGCCCAGCGTGAGATTGATCTGGAGAAGCATTTGCATATGCTTCACTGCCTGAAGCCTGTTTTTTCTGCCTGGCCAGCTAGACTTACCCAGATTGCGGCGCATGCTGAAACACTGTTCACCATGCTGCGAAGGCCAGGATGGGGAGGTTCCGGCAGGCAGTTTGTTCCATACCAGTGAGAGCGCATCACCCTCGCAAGAAGGTTAAAGGGATAGCTCGGAGCGAGGTGCATTGAACTGCACTTACCTGCCCTCAGGACGAGGAAGAAGGAGTTGCAGGACGATGCCTTCAACGACGCTTTAGCAGATCTTCCAGCACTTCGCCAGATCCTCAGGAAGGAAGTGATTTGGGTTGTTGATGCATTGTGGCCGCAGTGCCGAGGCGAAAGCTTGCAGGACGTGGAGAGGCAGCTTGCGGATTCGCAGCACCGAGGGTCACAGTCAGAGACCGACGAAGGCCTCATTTGCGTGCAGGATGTCATTCAGCGCCTGGGGACAGTGAGAGCTGAACAGGATCGGGCAAGTGTCGGTCAGGAGAAAGCAGCAACGGAGCTGGTGGAAAAGGGGTTGCAGGAGGTTCAAGAGTTGTTGGAGGCCTGTGTGGAGCTGGTACTGATGAACCGGTTGGGGAGTTTTTTGCACTTCCCGCATCCCCTGGTGGAGCCCCTCCACGAGAAGTGGGACTTCGTCTCCGACCACCTTCCGGTCGGCGCAAGACTTCGCAGCAAGGGGGCCCTTGCCCTGGGGAAGGACCTGTACGTGGTGTCCTGGAACGTCCTCAACCACCACTTCTTGGAGCATATCGAGAAAGACTTGCAGGGCCTTCGGGGCTCGAGCATTCACCGTGCGAGTAAGATGAGTATGAAGAGGGTCCGGCAGATCGTGGATGCCGTCAAAACGATGCTAAACCGTCAGTCCGAGATGCCAAAGGCCATCGTCTGTCTTCAGGGATGTTGGCCGGAGCTTCTCGGTGTGCTGGAGTGGGAGCTGCGGGACTTGCATTTCGCAGTTCGGCGCACGGGCCGGGAGTTGAGCCAGAAGAACCAAGAGGCCTCCGGGTAGCGTGACTGCCCAAGCTGCTGCTGCTGCTCGTTGCTCTTGTTCTTGCCCCGATAGTGTTATTGTTTTGGTTTTCTTGCCGTTGCAGTTGCTCCCTCTCTCTCTCTCTCCCCCGCTCTCTCGCTCTGTCTCGCTCTGCCTCTCTCTGTCTCTCGCTCTGTCCCTTTCTCTGTCCGTTGTCTGTCTGTCTTTTCTCTCTCTCGCTGTTGCCGATGCCGTTGCTGTTGGCTAAACTCGCGTTCGCGTCGCTCGTTCTTGCTTTTTCGGTCTTTCCGGTCAGTTGTCCCACTTCTGCTACTGCGGCCCGGTCAGCTGGTTGACTGATGGTCTTGCGGCATCCGTTTTAGTGATGGAAAGAAAGAATGAAGGACTGATAGACCGAGTGACGCAAGAATGCATTCATCGAATTCACGTGGTTGTGGCTGTGCTGTCACTACTCGTCGTCCGCTGATGGTTGACAATGTCCGTTCATCTCCGCCCTCAGGCCATCATCTTCGACAGCAGGTCAATCGAGCTGAACGAAGATGCCTTCAAGACTTTCCAGCCGTACAGAGATGCCACCGACAAGGTAACCGGTTCGTGCCTTGAGTCTAGATTCTATCTATTTCACATCGGGCATTGCGTCAGGTCAAGGTTCGAAAGAACCCCTGAAGAGCCAAAGCACAGAATAATGATGATACTGTTGATGGACAAAATTCTGCATGACCCAAGTATAGTATAGTACCATAATTCCCATAGTTTATGTATATAAGGTCATGCAGGATTTTGTCCATCAACAGTATGATGCTACCGTTGTCTCTTTCAGTGCCGATGGACCCGACCTAGACGTCCAGGCCGTGGCAGTTGCCTCGTTCAAGCTGCGCGATGACAGTGGCGATGCCAGCCTCCTGCGAATTGTCACCACGTGCCTTGTCCTACAATGCATTGACAGCATCAAGCAAGCTTGCCGGCCTGTGCTTTGGTGTTCTGTTGAGGCACTTGCCCGACATCCCTTACGGTCCAGCTCGGAAAGAGTTCTGCAATTGCATGGAGCAGCTGGAGGACGTTGCGCGAATCCCGACATTTCTCCTTGCCAGCCTGAGCTTCTCGGACCAGGCGGCCGCCATCACAGTCCTCCCACACTCAAGAAGTGCTTCTGTTTGGATATACCCGATGCTTCCCGGTCCAGGTCATCGAAGCGTGGATGAGACGCAAGTTCAGGATGGAGAACGTCAAGTTCGCTGGAATCCCGTACCCAACCAACATCCACCAGGCAGGCCTTGCCGATTTTTGCGGACGTCAGGAATCAGCTTGGTTGACGATGTTCTTGACTTTCGTCGGGAGCTCAAGGCATCGAGCGGTGTGATCCACTTCTTGTGACAGGCAACCCTTCTTCCGAAGAGGATTGACGGCATTGCATCCTTGTCTCCAGAGGCTACGTGGGAGGCCCGCAATCCTTTGCTTGAAGCAAGTTAGGCTCACGAGTCACACTTACTGTGCCGTGTGCTACGTCAACTGCAGCGGTGCACAGCATCAACAAACGCAGTTTGCGACGTTGTGCCGTTGAAAGTCTTCCTGAGGGTTCTTCACCCTGTAGAGTCATCATATTAATCAACAATGTAGCGACTATAATATCCTATACTATACTATACTATACTATACTATACTATACTATACTATACTATACTGTACCATACTATACTATACGTTAGTAATATAGTCTAATTAGGTTGGCGCATTGACATCCGCTCGGAAGCTTTGCTAGCGACAGGTTCGAGCATTGGAGGCAGATGAGGTCCTGCCTGAGTTGCAGAAGCACGCGGATCTCCTGCGTTACAGGCCGGGCTAGGTGTGCTTTTCTCTCGAATGCGCTGTTTCAGAATGCTTGACATTTTCGGTGAACCAGCCGTCTTGATTCCAAGGGCAAGTACACGTAAGTAGCACCCTGTTAGGTGCCTTGGGCTGGAGATGCCCTCACCAGAAGGCCACCTTGCCATTTCGTCAGCAGAGCTCGGTATGGTCCCTCGTCAAGCCGGTCAGCTCTGCCGAAAGGAAAAAACTTCCCAGCTGTCTGATGATCGTGTTGTGCGTGCATCCTGTCTGCCTTTGCAGGCGTGGTGGACCAAGCCTCAAAGAAGGACGAACCTGCGATGGTTTTCGTTCATTCGCGGTGCTCAAGGTATTCCGTGAATTGCGTTGAGCTGGCCTTAGAAGATTGTGACTGTGACATTTGTGCGGCGTGGCCTCGCTGTGTGGAATTAGACTGGTTCGGAATTCATGCCCTTAATCCTTTGGCATGGTTCTTTGCCCGCAACTTTCCAACGAGTGACTCACGGTTGTTTGACTTCAAGGTTAAGGACACAAGCGCGCAGTCTGAACCCTGTCGTGAGTCTCGTCAGAGTAGGTTCGATTGCCGTGTAAGACAAAAGTGCGTGACTCGTTTAGTTTGCGCGCGTGCGCGCGTGATTTCAATCGAGGTCGTGCCGTCGCCGAACCTAGCGCCGGCTGTTCCCAGTCAGGTCATTTTATGGTTATGGTGACGGGCTTCCGCACTCGTGCAGAAGTTGCAAGAGCCGTCTGTTGAAGGGGATCAAGTGACTCCTGCGTAGGCAAGACAGAGGCCTTCAAATGCGTCCGCGCAGGAAGACAGATCTGAAAGGCCGAAGCCCACGCAGTCAATACAACAGGCACTCTGGGAAAAGCAGGGTGGGTGATGGCAGACAGATCCAGGTGACGAGATCTCGTTTACATAGAGAAACCGCAGACATCGAGTGAATGCTTTTTCCGACCATTGTTGAGCTGTTGCCGAGATCCACAGGTCGGTTGTGCAGTGTATTTGGAGTAGAGCTCCAGGTCTTGTTCTCGAGACTTGAGTCTGCAGGCTCTGCCCGAGCAGACCGAGAATCAAAGCAGTGAGAACCAGCAAAGACAGAAGGTGGAAGACCTGGAGGTGGAGCTCGCGAGGGTTCGCCAGGATCTGAGGAAGACGGAGCAGGCTCTGAAAGATGCGGAGGCCGTGCAAGAGCGGGCTCCTCAGCAAGTAGATGGCAAACTACGAGAAGAGCTCCGGGACATGATGGCTTCAAAAGATGCGGCTTTAGCAGAGATAAAGGAGCAGCAGGAGGCTGCTGTGGAGGCAGAGAGTGAGCATCGGAGGCGTCTGGTTGAGAGCAGGCAGGCTACCGAGAAGGAGCAGAGAGCAAAACTGCAGGCAGAGCAGGACAGGAGCGGACTGGAGCAGCAGCTCGCGCAGGGCCGGAAAGACAAAGGCTTACTTGAGGCAAGGTTGGAAAAGCAGCAGGAGGAGTGGAAGGAGTGGAGGGAGGCAGAGGCGAAGCATGAACAAGGGTGTTGTGACCAGGAGCGCCAGCGCTTCAAGGACGAGCTGGCTGCCGAGGCTGAGGCATGCCAGGGTCGCTTCGAGGCCGAGGAGGCTCTGCAGGAGGAGTGTCAGCGTCTGAAAGCTCAGCTTCAGTTGTCTCACAAGGAGCAGGAGTCTGCCGTGGAGGCAGAGCACGAGCATCAGAGGCAGCTGATGCAGGCAGCCAAAATGCAGGCAGAGCAGGAAGGCAGCCGACTGGAAGCGGAAGCGCGACTCGAAGAGGCCCTGAAAGAGAAAGGCCGGATCCAGCTTGCACTGGACTCCGTCGCTGAGCGGTTGGAGAGGATGCAGTTGGGGCAGGAGAAGGCAGCAGAGGAGAGGAAGCAGGACAAGGAGCGGTGGAACCAGGACCGTCAGCGCTTCAGCACAGGGCTGGAAGCTGCCGCCCTCAAGGAGCAGGATGTTGCCGCCGAGGCAGAGGCCTGCCGGGGCCGCTTCGACGAAGAGCTGCGAGAGGCCCGGCGGCACAACGCCAACTTAAAGCAGGCCTTGGATGCTTTCAGGGCTTTGCAGGAGGAGGCATTCGAAAGAAAGGAGCAGCAGTGTGGGGACCTGGACGAAGAATGCCAGCGACTTCGGACACAGTCGGCATGCTTTGCCGCAAGGGAAGGCCAATCGGAGGAGGAGTGCGAGCGCATAGAATCCATGTTTCAGCAGTTGGAGCAAAAGGCCTCCGATTTGCACGAAGAGTGCCACTACCTCGGAACTGAGCTCGAGAAAGCTGGCAAGGATAGGCAAAGCCTACAGGACTCCTTGATGATGGTCGTTCAGTCGAAGACCGAAGCCCTCTCTGAGCGACAGCAGGCTTCAATGCATGCGGCGGAAGCGAGAGGTCAATTGCAGGAGGAGTGTCAGCGTCTGAAAGCTCAGCTTCAGTTGGCTCAAAAGGAGCAGGAGTCTGCCGTGGAGGCAGAGCGCGAGCGGAGCTGCCTAGAGGAAGAGCACGTGAGCCACATAGTTGAGCAGGAACAAGCTGCTAAGAAGGAGCACGGGGCCGAAATGCAGGCGGAGCGAAGACGGCAAGAGTGTCTCCGGCATGAGCTCGAACAGGCCAGGAAGGAGAAGCAGCGTGCCGAGCTTTCCCTGCTCTTTTGGGAGGAGACATCGGCTGAAGAGTTGAACAAAATGGAGCATGAGCGGAAGCAGGCAGTTGAACAGGCAAATCAGGGCAATGGACTGTTTCAGCAGGAGCGCCAGCTTTGCAGAGAAGAGCTGAATGCCTTGGAGGTTGAGGCGGAGGCATGCCGGTGCCGCTCGGAGGAAGAGCTTCGATGCTTCAGCCAACAGAACGACCGTCTGAAGCAAGCTCTGAGTAATTGTGAGGCTTCGAAGGAAGAGACATTAGAAAGGGTAGAGCAAGAATGCAAGGAAGCTGCGGCTAGGGTGGAGCAGGAGCGTAGCCAGTTTCAGACGGAGTGTCTGAACATCAGGGGTGAGGTGGACGTAGCTACTCGCAACGAGCGACAGGCATTCGAGCAGATGGCGCAAGAGAAGTGTCGTCTGCACGAGGAGCGCAAGTGCCTGAGGAATGAGCTCGCCGAAGCCGGGGCTTGCCTGCAGCAGTCTCTGAGTTTCGTTGTGGAGTCGAGGGCAGGACCCGTGGCAATACAGCGGGAGCGTCAGGCGCATAGTTCCCGCGTGGCATTCCAGCAGGAGGGCCAGCGGAAGGAGCATCAGCATCGTCTCCAGGGGCACCACCAAGAGAGGAAACATCGCCTCGTCCACGCAAGGGAGGAGGAAGAGCACAAGCTAGCCAGCGATAGCTGGCACACCGCACAGATCAGAGACGATCACGCTTGCCAGAAGCCCAGAAAGTTCCAGAAGCAACACCCTGGGACCCTACAGATATCCGACCTAGGCTGTGCGAATCTCCACGACGCAACCAGGAAGGGTGACGTGGTGTGTCTCAAGACGTTGCTGGCTAAAGGCTTCGACAAGGAGCCTGGAATGCCTGCTTGTTCCTGGTCACTGTCGGGGCGCGCACATGCAAGACGTGTCTTCCCATGCAGTTCTTTCATGTCTTGAACTCCTCACTTGCTTCAGAGTCCAAGCCCAAAGACCCTAATACCCCAATATCCCAAGTGTCCCGGAACTGAGGCTTACCCTAAACCCTAAACCCTAAACTCCTTCAATTACGGAGGGACCCTGAAGAATGTGGCGGGAACTCTTGGCGTCGCTCGAACACTTGCATGACCCTAAACGCTACCCTAAACCCTAAACCCTAGACCCTAAACCCTGACCCTAAATCCGTACATGCATCGGAAAAGGACGCCCGGGACGAAGCGGGTCGGGCCCTCGGAATCCCTGAGGCGTAGGGGCTTAGGGTTTTGGGGTTTAGGCGGTTTAGGTCTAGGGCGAGGGGTTGTAGAGGTTTGGGGGTTTAGGGTTCAGGGGTTTGGAGTTTAGCGAATTGGAATTTCGGGGTCTAGGGTTTAGGAGAACCGACTCTACATTGGAATGATGACGATGATGTGGTGACGATGGCGTCGTGACAACGGTGATGATGCAGCCTGAAGATGTCGAGATATATGATGACAATGATGATAACCCTAAACCCTAAACCCTAAACCCTAAACCCTGAACTCAGAGGAACATGGTGATGCATGTTGACGGTGACCGTGGCGCAGCCAAACGTGGTGAGAGACTTGTCACTCCCTGGCTTTTGTACTTTCCCGACATCGTTGCGGTTGCTCTTCTTTGTCTCCTGGTGGTCCTTGGTCCCTCTGAGTTCACCATTCTTGTTGCCACCTCGGGTGTTTAGGGTTTAGGGTTTAGGGTCTAGGGTTTAGGGTCTTTTGTTGCTTGTTCTGCTGCTGCCTCTGCTCCTGATAATGTAGACTTCTGTTGTTCTTCTTCTATCGCTGTACCGCTGCACCATGCCGATGCCGATAACAACCGCGACCAGGGCGGCGACTGCAAAGAGGACGACCAGTACTGGTACAAAACTAGTACTACACCTTCTTGCACTGGCTACACCTCCACCACCGCCAGCAAATGCATCCGTCTCGTACCAGATGTCCAAAGACCTCTCCTGGTCGCCAAGGTTGGACGCCTCTCCACGTTGTAGCAAGAGCTGGTGACGAGAAGTGCATGCAAGTGCTTCTCCAGGCAGGCGCAGCCAAGGACGGGCTGTAGATGTCGTATCCTGCCGTAGCCAGGAGAAGTATAGGTAGGAAGTGATACAGAGAATGAGCAGACAGCGGCCGACGACACGACAACGTCGACATCCGAAAGTCCAGGGTGGGGTAGATGGGCTTCGGGGATTAGGGTTTTCAGTCTCCAACTATTTCCACCATGTTGTGAACAGGTTGTATCCGACATGTCCTTGCAGACTCACAGTGCAGTGTGATCCGTCAAGACCTGTAAGCACAGAGCTCTGCGGACTCGCAGCAGCAGGGAGGAACAAGTCGAACTTTGCCTAAAGCCGCTGTTTGAGATTGCGCCTGAGCCGGAGCTGCCTCTGACCGCTGGGCATGAGGGTGTAGGGTTTCTAGGGTTTAACAACCAACAATCCACATGCATCGAACAATACGTCGCGACACCCACGATAACAAGTTCTCACAAGTAAGTTACGCTTTGCAGGACGCGACGACGTGTAGTGGCCAGGGCCTTGTGCTCCTTGTGGCGGGTCTAGGATTCGGACATCTGTTCCTCTTGGCAGTTCGAAGTCATACGGGTCAGGAAGCTGGCATCTTGTACCCATTCCGTTATCTCCTTCGGGTGTGCAAGGTCGGACACCACTCCATGTCGCAGCAAGCCATGGTCACATGGCGATCCTGGAGGAGCTGTTGACATATATATATATATATTTATATTTATATGATATATGTAGATCGAGTTATTTGAGTATGTATACATATATACATTTATGTATACACACCTCCGTAGAACCATGTATACATCTCTTTCAAGTGTCTTTCTCTCTCTCTCTCTATTTTAATTATATATGTATATATGTATACACGTACATGTATGTGTCTTTGCACATATATCTATATACATACATGCATACATACATACATACATACATACATACATATATATATATGTATATATGTATATATATATATGTATATACATACATACTTAATGCAGACACACACACACATATGTACATATCGACTGGAGCATCTCCGGCCTTGTTAGAGCCTCGTTCGATCCGTTTGCATCTCTTTCCTGAACTCTCTGGTCTGTTTAGATGGCTTGGCTCTCTTTCTGTAATTTTGCACTTCTTTCCCTAATATGCTCGAGCAGCCCGTTTCGATCTGCTCGTACGGTTTGCACCTCTTTCTCAGATTCTCCAGTCTCTTCCTCTTCCGATCGTTTTGTGTCCACTTTCGGCGCTTCTGTAGTCCCTTTCGATCGGTTTGCTGCTCCTCAAGGTATCTAGGTCCTTTTTGATGGTCTTCTTTCGCTCTTCGTTCGCCAGTGTGTACTCAGTTTCGAACGGCTTCGTCGGCAGACGCATACGCTTCCGGCATTCCCATATCTCCATGCTTCTCCATGTTTGCAAATGCATGCCAGTATGTAGTTCTGGTCGCGTCAGCGTTTTCTGGGTCCTGTTTTGGACATTACATGTCTTATACTGTGTATTCGCACTTGATGTCCAGGCTGGCAGTGCGGCTGCTGCCTTCGCCCGACTTGCATGCCCTAGAACTATAGACATGCAGACTGATCCTAACCCCTAACCCCTCAACCCTAAAGCCTAAAGCCTAAACCCTAAACCCTAAACCCCAACCCTACCCCCTAAACCCCACCGCCTACTGCCGTCCAGGGCCAGAAGGCTGAAGCCTCGTGCAGTGGCCCCGGTCGTGGCAATGTTAGTGGGACAGGATTCAGTGACACGGACAGTGGCTTCGGGTTTAGGGTCAGGATGTAGGGTTTAGTGTTTAAGGGGTTAGGGTGGCATGACCGCAGACAGGACATACTGTGAGCAGGACAGAAGGCATGGCACGCTCTGATTCAGAAAAGTTTAGATGAGAGGGACGTTCAACTTGGTGATGTCAGTGTTACTACTGTCCGAGAAGTGTTGTCGCGATTGTTCTTGCCACCGCTGCTCCTGCTGTTGCTGCCTCATCTTTCGTTTTTACTGCTGCTAGTGCTAGTACACATGAACGCAGTGGTGCTGCGACTGCTGCTGCTGCTGCTGCTGCACTACTTCTGCTTCTACCCGCTCTTCTTCTAAAACTGCTGCTGATGCTGCTGCCGCTGTTGTTGAATGTGTTGAAATTACAGATAGGGTTGACGATTGACTGCCTGACTTCCGCCTGCTATAGATTCTACTGTTGCGATGAAGAGATACTGTGTTTGTCGTCGCCTAGGTTCGAGGAGCTCACGTACAATACGGGATAGACCCTCAACGAACCTCCTCCCCCGTGTTTGTGCATGGAGGAGTTCGTTCCCACTAAGGTCTGGAACGTCACGGCCAGGCAACCCGACATGGGCACGTTTTGTGTCTCAAGGCGCTCCTCGACGCTGGTGCTGCGAAGGCCAAAGACGGCATTCAGCAAAGCACGTGAGAGGGGCCAGTTAACCCGGAGTACCACCCCAGTAGAGATTTCCGCGAGTCGAGTCCTAGCAAGAAACTCTAATAATCGCATTCATGGAATTGGGAATCCCATCTTATCTTGAGATATCTTGACCGAATTTCGACTTGTTGCAGGTTGTTCAAGTCTCAGTATCATTGCACGCGTTTACGTCTTGGGAGTCTCAATCCTGTTCATGTTCTCATGATTGCGAAAGGGCTGAACGGTATCGAATCATCAGGGCGAAGCACGTTAGCAGTCATGACTAGCAATGCAAATGGGTCATGTTCAGAGTATCAGACGTTTGAGTCGTCTGAATGATCGTAGCAGCAGTCTTCATTATAGTCTTGATATTGTCGCCAACAGCATTACATCAGATGTCGGTCGTGTGTGTAGAGGGGTTTCGAAAATGATAGATTCGACTCTTGTTTCCACTTCAGAAGCCATCCAGGATGTGCAGGACGAAAGCGGCCGGTGCCCCAGCTTGGGAAGGTGGCTTCTCGCAGCAAAGCCAAAGTGTAAGCTTCAGTCATATCCAGACAGCAAGTCGAGCCCAGAACCCGTACTGGATGCAACAAAGTCTCAATTTTGGAATATCCCAGTCATGAACTACGAGATACTACGAGATCAATGGTGTGTCTCGCTAGGATGTGTATCATGCAACGCCAGCATGCACAGCAAGATCTGTGTGCAAGGAGAAGCAGTCGTAGGCAGGAGTGCTCAGGTCTTGAGATCAGTTCGGCTGCCTGTACCCTTTGCACTTGTCCCATACCTGACCCCAGGTTGGACTCCACTCCACTGCGCAGCCCAGTACGCAGACTTGGCATGCCTGGATGCGCTTCTGACAGCGGGTGCGATCAAGGCATGGGCGCTGTGTCCTTGGCTGTGCAATTTCTGCTGGCAGTCTGGGAGTTTCAGAAAATTAGGGTACCTTATTTTGGGGTCCTTATAATAGGGATCCTATTAATTAGGGTACTATATTAGGGTCCCTATGTATCTGCAGTTACCATCTGCCACAACCTCCAAGCCTCGGCAGGACGTGCGGGACAAATGTGGTCCAGCCCTCAGGCCTTAAAAAAGACCCTAAACCCTAAACCCGGCCTGCAGTTGTTTTTCTCGGGCTGTCCGACCAGCCCAGCATCCCCGTGGTGCCAAACAGAGAGCTTTGGCTTGGTCTCACACCAAGGTTGGACCCCACTCCACTGGGCAGCCCATTGTGCTGACCTGGAATGCCTGGTGGCGCTGCTGAGCGCCGGCGCAGCCACGGCGGGGTTTTTCTTTCACTGCAGGCTTCATAGAAGAAGCCGTGCCGCATAATGCTGGGCCTTTCGCACAGACCTTCCCTCGAAAGCCCAACATGTACAGGACATGAGGGAGAACAGCGGCCACATCCTCAGGGTCGGGCTGGGGAAGAGGTGCCACAGCACACGAGCAGGACTTCAAACGATCAGGCCGTCGCGTCTTTCGCCAAGGTTCGACCCCGCTGCACTGGGCCGCCAGTCACGGAAAAGTCGAATGCCTGGTGGCGCTGTTGAACGCCGGCGCTGCTGAGGTGTGGCAGGGGATTTGTTTGTCGTTGCCCGCTGTGGGCTTGGCCGTACCTGCCCAGGACGTGCAAGACCAAGCCGGCAGCCGCCCCGGAGTGATTCCGTGATGCCCCACATCAAGAAACTGGGCGGCCACGTTGGGGGGTGGTGTACGTGAAAATCTCAATGTGCGCAGCGAAGCAGTCACTACAGTCACTACTGTCTTGCCAGTCGCATCCCAACCGAGCATCTCGCATCTTCGAAGCATGGGGTAGAGACAGCTTCTCGCAAGACGCCTCCAACATGACAAGAGCAGGACAGCAACCTTCTCAATTCTCGCGTTTTCCCGGAACCCCCCAATCCCTGTCTTCTCCAAGGCCAGACACCGCTCCAAGTCGCCAGAAAGCTTGGCCATCGGACATGCGCAGACACGCTCCGACATCGCCCCCGGCTGCGCGAAGCGTAAGGTTTGGAGATGTTTGGAGGCTTCTTGAATCTGGCTGCGACACCGGTAGGGCCTTCCCGAAGTAGATCTCTCAGCAGATTGGACTCTGAATCTTCTGCCAGGTTGGCGTTCACCACGCAAGCCCACGGCACCTTAAAAGGAAGATTGCAACGACAACGCAGTCTGCAGGCACCCCACCGAGGAGAGCACGCGCGCAGTGAGACGCTTCCAACCTTGTCACAAAGCTCCTGCCAGACGGGAGTCTAGTCGAGGGGATTTGAAGATTGCTTGATGCACGCCAATGCATTCAGCACGGCTCTGAATGACTGTGGACTCCGAACGAAGGTGCTCCCGCTCAGCATTATGCAACAGAAGGAATCGAACATACGACAGTATGACATCAACGCTAGCAAGTAGTCGTAAGATTACGGCAGTAGTACTTGCATATCTACATGCCGATGTGTACCTGCCTCCCTAATTACGCAAATATACATGCATCATCATGGCATTCCTTCCTACGCAAGCAAAAAGCATACGACATAGACAGGGAGACGGGCTTAGATACTTGCATACATGTGTATCGACACTTGCCGTCTGCCGAAGGAGAGACATGCTGAGGGATCTAAGGAGAGCTAGGTAGATTGACATATTGACGGACCGGCAGATAGATCGAGAGATATTCGCCCATCGAAGTCTGTAATGCGCTCACAAGCTCATCAGAGCCAAGGCTGAGGAGGTTAATGTCTGTTCTCCAGCCTCCGCGAAAGTGGAGCTGTCTGCCCAGCTGCCGATGCGGTGCTGTCGCGGCACCTGTGCGAGGAATCATATTCGGAGGCAAAGCCTCTGAGCCTGGACTAGGTCCCTGGGTCAGGCATTCTTGAATTCCATAGCTTCATTCAGCCGCATCCGAAGCTGCTTGATCGTTGAAGCCGCGAGTTTGTTCGTCTCGACTGAAAGGGCGTGAGACAAAGCAAGACACGGAGTGTGTCTGCGTGTGTGTGTCTATCGGTATGCGCGCGTGCGAGATCCAGCTGGTGCAGCTGCAGCTAATGCGAGAGGTCATATGTGCACTGCCTGAAGCACGCAGTCGAGATGCCTTCGCCCACTTTTGAATCTGTAGTCGAAGCACAAAGAGCAGATATGCCGCTATGCTTGATTGTTGCTTTGGTGGCGGGAGCACAGTATGGCCGGGGGTTGAGGGTACCCGCAGATGTCGCCGAAACGATGACCGCCTAATGGCTGGGTCGACAGCCCAGGAGGCTGTTTGCTCGGAGCTTGGCGACGGGAAGAAAGAGCATTCAAGGGTTCAGAGTTTAGGGTTTAGGAGTTCTTTTGCCTGTTTTTTGGGCAGCTCCTGAAGCCTCCGTGAGGCAGGCTATGTCGTTCTATGTCTGCCGTGGCGGTGAGCGCTGTCAGCCTTGGGGTTCCACCGCCCGATATTTCCTCTGTTCCTGCCGCGCCTTGCTGTCGAAGGCCCCAGGCCCTAGGAAGCCCTGCCAAGGCAGCACTTCAAGCCTCGTTTCCTTCTCAGAACTCCTGGTATTGTGGTTATACGTTGTATCTGGCAATCCTATCTCTAGGCCCGCAGGCACGTAAAGCCAGCGTCGTGTTCGAGCCAGGTTCTGCTCCCCGCTGGTCTGCAGCAAGACGAGTGCAGCAGAGGACTTGCCTCTGACAGAGTTGCTTCCGCAGCCATCGCAGCTCCAAAGCTCCGAGCGTAGCGAAGCTCTTCGTCGGGGTGCGGACACCTCCTAAGGGTGGCTGCCTTAGGGTGTAGGGTTTATGTTTAAGGGTTTAGGGTTTAGGGCTTAAGGGTTGCTGCCTCAGATCCTTCGGCCTTGCGTTCTGTAAAGTGTAGTTGGGTTGAGCCAAAAGGACAAGCCCGCTGATGCTGTGCAGCTGAAGACTTTGTCGTATGTGCCCAAACCCGAAACCTAACCCTTAAGAACAAACGGTGTTCGTCCCAATGCCAGGGAAGGTCCGTGAGATTTGTGGCTAAGGTAGGTTCACGTTCCTTGTCCTGCTTCCGGACAGAGACCAAAACGATACCACATCCCAAGCTTTCAGATTCTGGTTTGGGATGGATTTGAAGTGCCGGGGTTGGTCGGGAATTTGGAGGAGGGAACCCGGAGAAGACTTTGCTTCTACTTACGAAGCGTGTTCTCTTGTCATCATGATCATCTGCACAAGAAGTCGGTTGGGTGCGCGGTTTTGGGGTTTGTAAATCTTGGCCTGACTTGATCTGCCATTCCGGTCGAAGGAGACGAAGCACCTTCTTGTCTCTTTCAGCCAAGGTCTTTGGAAACCATGGCCACGACAGAGTCGGACGATGTGGAGAACATCACGGAGGGCACATATGCCGCTCGTCTACATCAGCTTCAAACCTAAGCCCAGCACCCCCAAACTTCCTAAGCCCTAAGCCCTAAACCCTAAACCTAGCCTTAAACTAACCTAAACCCCCTAAACCCTAAACCCCTAAACCTACCTAACCTAACTTCCTAAACCCTCTAAACCCCTAAACCTAAACCCTAAACCTAACCCTAAACCTAGCCCAAACCTAAGTTCCTAAACCCTAAACCCCTAAACCTAACACTTCAACCCTCAGTTCTGAACCCGGAGGCTTCTCTACCTCAGAACGGCCGCAGAGACATTTTGTCCAGTCTCAACCTCCCGAAAGCTGCGCCCATTTGCCTCGACTAGAAATGCTTGAACAGAATGGTTTAGAGTTCAGGGTTTTGGGTTTAGGGTTTAGGGTTTAGGGCTTTGGGTTTAGAAGAATGGCTTTCAAATCCGTATGAACAGCCTAGACTCAGAAATCCCCAGAGGGTCTGCTGCGGAGATGTGGAGGGGTTCTGCTTGGGTTTCCATCTTTAGGGTTTAGGGCTTATAGGGTTTATAGGGTTTAGGGCTTATAGGGTTTAGGGCTTATAGGGTTTATAGGGTTTAGGGCTTATAGGGCTTAGGGCTTAGGGTTTAGGGTTTGGGATTGAGGGGGGTTCGTAGTTCGCATTCGTCTACCCACCAATTCCGTAGTTCTCTACATAGAAGTCCCTTCGTAGCATTGTATGGCACCCTTCTAGAAGGAACCCTTGTAGATCCCTTAAAAGATCCCAAAAGGGACCTTCACCCTAAACCTTAAACCTTAAACCCTGGAACCCTAAACGTGACCTCTTAGTTTAGAGAATCACCCAGGTGTATTGGATGATGCAAAACGACGACATATCGCGAGACCAGCTGGGTGAGGCCAGTACCATCGTGTAGGGTTTAGGGTTGAAGTGTTTTCAAGCTATCAAGGGGGTTGTAGGTTTTTTTGGTCTCGGCCGTGATGTGAAGGAGATCTTTACTTTTAGCGGGGTATGAGGCTGGTAAGCCTTTCATACAGTATAGTATGCTATGGTATACTATAGCATACTATAGCATACCCTATAATCCTAAACCCTAAGCCCCTAAACCCCTTAACCCGAAACCCTAAACCCAAAACCCTAGTTGTGGGGTTCTGAGTTGTAGAAGTGCGAGAGGGGGCGGATTGGAGTCCTTAAGGGTTCAGGGGAGTAGGGTTTAGGGTTCAGGGTTTAGGGTTTAGGGTTTAGTGTTCAGGGTTTAGGGTTTAGGGTTCAGGGTTTAGGCTTTAGGGTTTAGGGGTGTAGGCTTTTTACGGGTTTTGGGGTTTGAGGCTTGCTAGGGGGGGGGGTTAACAAATACCGAAAGCTGTTTTTTTTGGGGGGGTGCCTTCGTCTTTTTATTGTATATCATACCCCAAAACCCTATTCTTATAAGACCCTTAAAGGAGCCTTATAACGCCTCCTACACTAAGGGCTTAGGGAAGGCTTAAAGAGGGCTTGTGTGACTTTTTGGGGTTGCAGGGCTTTGGGCGCTCCACGGGCCTTCCTAAACCCTAAACCCTAAACCCGAAACCCTAAACCCGAAACTCTAAACCCTAAACCCTAAACCCCTAAGCTTTGCAACCCTCACTCCCTAGGGGTCCCATGTTTGATCCTTCACGGGATCTATAAGCGTTTCAATCATTTACAGGGTGCTACAAGGGTTCTATATGGGTAGTTCTCTAACTTAGGGTCCCTTTCAGTTTCCTTTTTTAGAAGGGTGCCATACAATTTTTGGGGGTCTACACTGGCACCGCACTCTAGGGAACTGCTCAGATAGCGGAGCATGGACTGGAGTTCCCCGACTTCTTGCCAAATGAAGGTGTACGGTGTCCTGGAAGATCAAGTCAAGGTCAGGTTCGCTGGCGGCAAGATCAAAGTTTCCCCGCAGAAGCCTCCTGGCAGACACTAGCACCACCACTACGACGACGACGACGACGACGACTACTACTACTACTACTACTGCCACTACTGCGATTACTACTACTACTTACTACTACTACTACTACTACTACTACTACGACTACTACTACGACTACTACTACTACTACTACTACTACCTACTACTACACTACTACTCTCTACTACTACTCTCTACTACTACTCTCTACTACTACTACTACTACTACTACTACTACTACTACTCCTGCTGCTACTACTACTACTACTACTACTACTACTACTACTACCACTCTCCGCTACCACTACTACTACTGCGACTACTACTACTACTACTACTACTACTACTACTACTACTATACTCCTACTCCTACTCCTACTCCTACTCCCACTTACTACTACTACTACTACTACTACTACTACTACTACTCCTGCCTTGGCTCCTGCTTCTACTTCTGCTTGAATTAGGCTTTAGTTGTGACGTGCGCCTTTGCAACAAGCCCCTGTCCGATTCAAGGCCGAAGCCCCAAACCCTGAGCCCTGAACCCGAAAAGCCTGAACCGTAAAACCGACGTTTTGGGGTTTAGGGTTCGGGGTTTGGGGAAAGTCCTAACCCTAAACCCTAAGCCTCAAATCCCTTAACCCTAAACCCTAAACTAAGCCCGAAAAGTCGAAGAGCCCCAACATCGAGGTTGAACGTCTCTGACTTGCAGAAGGGCACCTTTGTGCACAGCACGCTCGACGACCACGACTTCGACACCATCGGTCAGGCCTGGGGGTTTCCTTCAAAAGGGTTCCTTCAGGGTCTAGGGTTTAGGGTTTCTGTTTTAGGGTAATAGGGTTTAGGGAGGGCTTGGGGTTTCATGGGGTTTTGAGTTTATTTGCCATGTGCCCGAAGAGTATAGACTTTGGACCCTAACCCCATGCGCAAAACAATAAGCAAGGTCGTACTCGTACTACTACTCCTAGCAATGACACTCTTGAAGAACCACATGATCATAGAAAGAAGAGTAATATAGAAGCCTAAATAATTATCAATCTTATTCCCTGCGGTTCCTTATCACGATTATAGTATAAAGGATCCCAAGTACCCCATTCTATCTACTGAGGCCCACATACCATAGAACCCTATTGTAGATCCCGTATAGAATCTGTTAAAGAACCCGTACATCAGAACCCTTATCGTAGCCCTTAAAGGAATCCTTTAAAAGAACCCCTTAAAGGAACCCCAAAACCTGAATGTGATGGTAATCAACTGTTGCGATATGGCAAAAGGATTATAGGCAATCCTTAGTATGATTGTCCGTGCTTGCATTTCGTGGGTTGCAGGAGTAAACATTTTGTAGGCAATTCTTAGTACGATCGGCATGATTATTTGTGTTCGGATTGCCTGGTGCAGTAATGAACAGACTATAGGCAGTACTTAGTATGATGATTCATGTTTAGATGACGTGAGTTGCATAGGATTAGAAAGATTACACGCAAGACTTCGTGTGACGGCTGCTGTTTGGATTGCTTGGTGTGGTAGTAATTGTTTATGGGCAACACTTAGCATGGATATTCGTCTTTGCATGGATAATAAAGGGGTTATAGGCAAGACTTGGCATGATTATTCGTGTTTGAATGGTGTGAGTTGCATTCCATGCCATGGTTTCTTTCTTTCCCTCTGTCTATCTGTATGTCTTTAGTTTATTAGTATTTCTTTCTTTCTATGCCTGACTGTTTTTTCTTTCTGTCTTCCAGTTCTTTCACCCTCTTTTTCATCCCTCTCTCCTCCAACACCCAACCAAAGCAAGGTAAACAACATCAACAGCAAATTGCAGACACAAGCCAAAAAGACGCAGCACCAAAACTCCCCGGCCGGAGGAGGCGGAGTTGCACCGTGCAATTTGCGTACCAACAGATAGCAGCACATTATTGTTGTTATTGCTGCTAGTGCAGTTATTGGTTGCTACCATTGTTACAAATTGCGATCAATGCTATCATTGTCACTATGTTATTATGTCATGGTGCCATCGTTGCTCGTTGACGAACCGTTGCTATCGTCAATGTTGTCACTGTTGTTATTGCTCCTCTGGTTCTTCTTCTGCTTATTAGCATTGTTTTCATTCCTGCTGCTGCTGCCGCTGTTACCGTTGCTGGCGCTGTTGCTGTTACTGCTGTTGTTGCTGTTGTTGTTGTTGTTGCTGCTCTTTTTGTTTTTGTTGTTCTTGTTATTGTTCTTGTTTTTGTCGTGGTTGGCGTTGTGGTTGTGGTTGTCGTTGTCGCCGCTGTGGTGTCGTTGTCTTTGTCCTTATGGTTCTGGTTGTCGTTATCATTGTCGTTGTCGCCGTCGGTGACGTCGTTTTCGTCGACATCGTCGTCGTCGTCGTCGTCGTCCTCGTCGTCGTGATTGTTGATGTTGATGTTGTTGTTGGTGGTGGAAATGCGCACTGGGTCCGGATTGAGACATTTGTTGCGCTGCTACCCGCCCAGTATGTGATTGCACCTTGTTGTTGTTGTTGTTGTTGCTGCTGTCGCTGCTGTTGCTTTTGTTGTTGTTGCTGCTGCTGCCGCTACTGCTGCTGTTGTTGTTATGGTTGTCGCTGTTGTCATCCTCGTCGCGGTTGTGGTTGTGGTTGATGTTCTGGTTGTGGGTGTGGTTATGGATGTTGTTGTTGTTGGCTGCTGCTGTTGCTGCTGGTGTTACTGTTTCTGTTGTTCCGGTTCTTGTTGATTTAGCTGTTGCTGTGGCTGTGGCAGTGGCCGTGGCTGTTGCATTTCTTGTTGCTGTTGTACGTTATGATGGGTACCCTTAACATCCCTAAACCCTAAGCCCTAAACCCTAAACCCTAAACCCGAAAACCCTACAGCCCTAAACCCTAAACCCTAAGCCCTAAACGGTAGAGTCTCTCAACGATCCGGAGAGGAGGGGTTTGAGGGAAATTTCGGGGTTGCGGGGGCCGGGGATCGCTGTCTGGGAGCCTTTGACCGGTCAGGCAACATGATCAAGATCACCGTATACTAGACAACATATGGGTGGTTGTCAAAATTATGTTGCCTTTTTGGGTCCTTATTATAATACGGCACCTATTACTTAGGGTACCCCAAAAGGGACCATAATTTTGGCAACTACCCATATACTAGACAACATATCACACTAGATGATTCTTTATTATCTATACTACATAGGAAAGCCGGAAAGCACCAGGAAAGGCCTTCAGGGTGTAGGCCTTCGGATTGAGGGTTATAGCCTATAAGCCTGAAGCCTAGATCCCCAAAGCCCCGATACCCAACTGTCTGGTGCTTAGTAGGGAATTCCCTTAGGGTCCCTTATAGTAGTGTTTAGGGTTTAGGGTTTAGGGTTTAGGGTTTAGGGTTTATAGTAGTCCCTATGACCGATTCCCCCATTCCATACTAAGCACCAGACAGCCAAGTGCAGGTACTTGAGTTGGACGACGGCAAGCTAGTGGTCGAGATCAAGGGAGAGAAGGCCGATCTGGCTTCACGTTTCCATGCCCATGTGGGAGTTTCCGAAAATTAGGGGTACCTTATTTTGGGGTCCTTATATTAAGGATCCTATTATTTAGGGTACTATATTAGGGTCCCCTATATTCGGAAACCCCCATGTGTATGCTCTGTGTAATCTAAGATCTAAGGGCTTAAACGATTACCAACAGGATTTTGGGTTTCCTTATTACAGTCACAGGAGATCATAGCAAAAACTTACCCTGAAACCTTGGTTCTAATTGTTAAGGCCACTATATTATCCTGTGTGTGCCTGCGTGAGAGGTTCTAGGAAGTGTCGGCCCTTGTGGTAGCATGGAACATACGGTGGCGGGCAGCAAGCAGCGGAACGTCAGGCAGGCACGCCGTGTGAACCCTGGGCCCTGAACCCAACAAACATGGAACCCGGAACTTGCGACCCAACAAGCCCGTGAACCCTGCGCCAGATGAAGATCAAGCCGAAGTACTTGATGAGATGTGACTTTCAAGTCGGCACATATGTACCGGGACTGCAGAAGTCGATAACAGTCTGGTCCTCGTGATGGTAGTGGTTTGGGTCGTGGGGTTTAGAGCTGCTGGGCGGACTTTTGGGTATCTTCGGGGGAACCGACCTTTATGGTTTAGGGTTTAGGGCGGACTTTGGGGGTATTTCGAACATTCCTACACGCCTGTCTGCTTGCATCCGCCAGTTGGAAGATGCCTCCGACCCCAAGGTTTCTTTTCAGTCAAGGCTGTGTAGGTATGCTCGCTCCCCAAGTGCACATTGCAATGTAACTGCCGATCTGCCGTGTCTCACCTGGCTTTACAGCTAAACCTTAGACCCTAAACCCTAAACCCAACTTACCGAGCCCGAATGAGCCTTGAGCGCTGCAAAAAGGCCCGAACATGTAACCGCAAGTCTTTAACGTAGGTCCCTAAACTCTATTAGTCCCCTAAACCCTAAGCCCTAACCTCTAACCCTAATTTGTAAGGGTTTAGGGTTTTGCGCTTAGGCCCTAAACCCTAAACCCTTGTGATTGAACAAAGCGCGTGTGGCCCCACCCCAGTCGCCCAAAGCCGAAATACAATCCCATGCTTTCTGGGTTAAGGGTTTTAGATGAGTCTTGCAATTTCAACTGTGTTTGCTATGAACAAGGACTACAAGGATTGCGAAGCAGTTGTGTTTTCATCGCAGTTTCGCATTATCGTTGTTCCGCTTGTTGGTACAACCATAACCAGAACCCTGAACCCGAAACCGTAACCCTCGAAACCCTCTAATCCACAAATCATAGGCATTAAGCCCAGCTCGCAACCAATCCTCCCAAACCCCAAACCCCCAATTTCCCAAAACCCCGAGCCAGTGTCATGACGCCGAGGTTTACTGGACGAAGTCTGACGATGATATCCCCGAGGGGCACATGGGGATTGCTTCTCGGGCTGCAAACGGTTTAGGGGTTCAGGGGGTTGGGTTTCGGATTTAGACTTTTGAAGAATTTTGCTTTTAAATGTTATAACATGGGGCTCGCAGCGGGCTCGCATAGTTTTATGAGGGGTCGTGTAGGGGTGGTTGTTATAGGATTTTTAGAAGCATCCCATGAGGGTTTCGCAGGGTTTGAAGACGGTTCCATTAGGTTGTTGCAAGAGAGGTCTGGGAATGTGGAAGCTTCTGAAAGAGGCTGACCTCAAGTAAGATAGGGTGCCTTTTTTTGATGCCTTTGTGGTTGTGGGGCATATTATTTATACCGTCAATATACAGGGACAAAGAAGGGATGTTTTGGTAATTAACGGGACTTCTAGAGTCGAAGGACGAAACCCCACGGCTGAGGGTTCCATGTTCAGGGCTTAGGCTTCGAGGTTGAGGGCTTATGCGGTGTAGGGAGCTTTGAACCCCCAGCCCCTAAACCCTAAACCCTAAACCCCTAGCTTGAAGCCTTAAACCCCATAATCCTTCCTTCCACTGCCGGAGGTTCCTGGGTAGTTTATATGCTGGGTTTATAAAAATTTATAAGTAGGGCAACTGGGGTTTAGGGTTTAGGGTTTATTATGGGATGTAACAAACCCCCACTCATACCTACCCCTCCAAATAAACCCTAAGCCCCTAAACCCTAAACCCTAAACCCCAACTTAAAACAAAACGAAAACCCTAAACCCCTAAACCCTAAACCTTTAAACCCTATATAAACCCTTAACCCT